TGTGTGTGTGTGTGTGTGTGTGTGTGTGTGTGTGTGTGTGTGTGTGTTTTACACAAGGGCATCTGATGTCCTGGTCCTGTGTGACCTGGGCGCTGGGAACCTAACTCTGGGTCCTCCTCTACAGGAGCAATGTATGCTCTTAACCGCTGAGCATTGCCCCAGCCTGTTTTTCATGTCAGCCTCTTCCCACTTGGGAACCAAGTTCTGTTTACAACTTGCCGCCTCTGTTTTGTAGCCCTGATCCAGGCCTGGCCCACAGCCTGTGCTGCAGGGCTTCTTGGTGGCAGCGTGTGGCTGGACCTGCAGTCACTGGTCCCAGGGACACATTCCTGAGCTTTGTGGGTTGCGATGGGTCATTTTGCAGACACACGCTAGAGCGCTAATGAGGCGCTGCTGTGAGTGTGACTGGGCAGGGCAAGAGTGGCCTTGAGTGGCCTTGAGTGTGTGTAGCATCCTCCTGGGCGGGGGCCCCAGACTGAACCAGAGAGGGGAAAAGAGTCGGAGAACGGAGGGCTGCTCTTACATCTCTCTGCTTCTCAGAGACGTGAGCAGGCAGCCCGCTGCTCCTCCTGCCTCAGCTTCAAGACTCTCCTAGGACTGTACCGTCCTTGCCGTAACGGATGGAACCCTCAGGTCATGAGCCCAAAGAAATCCTTCCGTAATGCCTTCTTGTCAGGTATTTGGTTACACATGAAAGAAACATAACTGACATACACATCCACTTATGATCAGGAATCCCTGGGCTCAGGCCAGACTAATCTTCAGCACGGTGACCCCAAGGAGCCCACACTTGAGCTGAGGCCGCAGAGACGAGACAGACACACCTCCCATCCCATTCCCAAGTCTGACCTGTCCTGAGACAGACGCTGCAGGTCCGGGGTCTTCGCACCCTGGGAGCGGGATGGATTTGGGGTGCCTGGAGGTGACTCCCCATCACTGGAGGGAGTTATGTGAATGGCAGGCACCCCCAAGAGCCTCCAGGATTGAGCAGATAGGTCCTGGACACCGTCGGCCCGTGTCTGCTGCTCAGCTGGAGCACTGGGTGAGCCCTGGTCACCGGCCTGGTCCCCCTGGAGAGCCCAAGGCAGCAGGGGCAGGAGCTCCGCCATAAGGAGGATCTGGACAGCGGCGTTGGCCCTAGGGGAGAGAAAAGAGAAGTGTAATTGTCCAAGCATAATTTGGGTAGAAGGGGCACGGCAGAGATCCCCCCTCTGCCCACAGCCTATCCATCCTCACGACCCTGAGCCTCCATTTCTTTCATTCTAAAGGCCCCATAGAGGCAGAATATCCCAGAATGCACAGCCAGTGCTGAGAGTCAAGCACACAGAGCCCAGCTCAGAGAGCTCGGCAAACAGCTGTTCGTCCTCAGGCTGGGTGCTTTGCTGTGCATTCACTATGGCTGTACTCTGAGGCCCAGATGCCATGTCCCCTGTAATACACAGGGTCAGGAAAACGCCAGGCCTCGTGGCTAGCCACGCTGGGACCGAGAGAGGCAGACTCTTATAAGATTTTCCTTCCCTGGTTTTCTCAATGCCTCAACCAAGACAAACAAAGGGAAGGTGCCCCCCACCCCCCAGGCTTGCATGGCTGGGAGGAAGTAGGGCTATGTCTGTACCAAGCAACTTGGCTCTGGCAATGCCAGCTCAGAGCCTGGGTCTCCTCACAGGAGAACACAGCAAAGGTGTCTTGCAACCCAGCTGACCGGAGGCAAAGGAAAGGTGACGTTAGTGCCAGGAAGACCTGACTCTCCGGCCTGGCTTGGACCTAACAGGCACCCTGGCATCCCAGGACACCTACCTGTGAGTTCTTCCTTCTGTCTCCCGGGGTCCAGACTTCCAGGATAAGAGAAGGCCTAGCCTTTCTTTCTCGCCGGAGACTCCTGACCTTCAGGCTGGAACAGCATGTCTGACTGGAGTCCTGTTACCTTCCCTGCCAGCTGTTCCTGGAAGAAAGTATAGAGCGGGGGAGGGGTGGGTGTTCCTACTACCGAGGGCACCTTAGGAAGGCCTCCTGTCCCTTCTCTCCTTCACTGTGCTGTTCAGGCCTCCGACGATTTGTTGCTTGTGTTGGCCTGAGGTATAGCTTCTGCCCGGTGCTTCCCAGAGCTGCCCCTTCAAGTTAGGAGGCGGCTGTAATTGCCAGTCCCTCCCCACCCCCCATTGTGTCTGCCTCTATCCCGCACCAGCATTTCTCACAGGGTGAGGGACTTTTTTTTCCCCCCTTCCCCATATTTATGACCACCCCCTCCACCACTGAGAATGCCCCTCCTGTGTGGTGGTTGGTGGTTTGAGAATCGTCCCCATAGGCCGGCGTCCCCAGCTGGTGGGGCTTTGGGGGGCAGGTTGTAGAAGCTATAGGGGGCACAGCCTTGATGGAGGAAGGATATCACTGCGGCAGGCTTCGAGAGCTTTTAGCCTCCTGTCGCTTCCTGTTTCTCTCCCTTCTCTTCCCTCTCTCCTTCCTGTGGGTGGATGAAAACGTGACCAGCCAGCTTCCTGCTTCTGCTGCCATACCTTGCCTTGCCTGTTGCCAGGCCTTTCCCACCAAGAGGCGTTCTATCCCTCTGGGACCAGGTGCTAAAATAAACCCTTTCTTTCCTAAGTTGCTTTCGCGCATATTTTAGCAGAGCATCAGAAAAGTAAGCAGGCAACGCCCCCTACAGACACATGCTGGAAACGCTGGGCTGGTCCAGGGCGCGGTGGCCTTGGGGAAGTTCTGGCAACTCTGAGAAACGAGATTTGCCCAGAGGAAGTAGGTTGCCTGGGCAGCACCCTTGAGGATATTTCGACCCTGGTCTCCTCCTGTGTCTCTCTCTCTGCATCCTACACTCCACAGATGGATACGCTTCCCCCACCACTGTCTCCAACCACCGTGGTTTTCTATCCAAACACGCAGGCAGGGGCCAGTCAGACCATCCCATGCTAGCCTCGAGCGCCGGTAACAATCAGGTCAGTGTTTGGGGGGGAGGGGAGGTAGAGACAGGGTCTCTCTGTGTTGCCTTCCCTGTCTTGGGTTTGCTTTGTAGACCAGGCTGGCCCTCCACTGAAACCCTAAAATGTGAAGCCACAGACAAAGAAGGTTTCTAAGATTCCTCCCTATGGCTGTAGTTTGGCTGCACGTCATCCGTTTTGCCCAGTGTATAATATTCCATTTCGGAAATGTATTATGTGTCACGTACTAATTTTTTCCTGTCCGTAGGCAGTGATTATTTTAAAACTGCGATTAGTGGGGCTGACATGCCTGGGTAAGTGAGAGGTCCACTCACCGTCAGCTTCCTGTTCCTCACCTCCACGAGCCTGAGCGGGCTGGGTCCTATCAAACCCTGAGCTACCAGAATGCCTCTGTTCCATCAGCCCTGTGGTCAGCCCTGGTATTGAGGGAAGTCCTGTTCCTCTTGCATCAAGGAACTTAAGAGTCAACTTCAGTTCCAAATGAGGGGGAAAGTTAACAGTGAAAATTTGACTGCTCTGCCCTGTTCGGCCGCCTTTGCCACAAAGGCCTTTCCCTGATGTGAAGATCTGAAATCTCAGATCTCCAAAATGATGCCACAGGCCCGGTGGTTCAGTGTTCACAAACTTTGCTTCAAACATAAAATTATTAAAAATGCTGAATAAAACTACCTTCGGGTTATGCATAGAAGACACATATAAAACATATACACATATAAAATGAATTTTGTGTGTAAATTAAGTCCCATTCTGTGGATACGCTGGGCAAAGTGGTTCGCATCCTGTGTAGGATGGAGCAGGTGAGAGACCAAAAGATTAAAAATTAGCAGCTATTACTAATTAAGGCCTGAACTAGGTGGGTGGAGAAGTCCAGGAATGCCCCGAGGGGAAGAACCGCCTTACTGCATTCTTTCCCCACCCACTAGAGATACAGTTGCTAGGAAACTGGCCCATCCCCCTAGGGAGGGACACCAGGTCATTAATGGTCTGGGGACCTTTCTATAGCCAATCAATTCAAAATGTAGCATTTTGACCAACAGATGCTTGCCAGGCAGGAATCGCCCCTGCCTTGGGCATGCTGGGAGGGACCAGAAGCTTTAAATCACCCAACTAACCTGGGCATGGGGCTCTCGGCTCTCAACGCTTTGGCCAAGCTGTACCTTGTAATGATTTATAATAAAAAGAACCTCATGTATAAAAAGACCTAGTTATTCCTGGTCTTTTGGGGTTCACAAACCCGGCAGAACACAGGTCTGTGCAAAATTTTGCCCTCCTACTTGAACACAGTTTACTGCTCAAAGATGTATCACGCTCTATACACTGTTGTATTCCAAAAATCTCCCCCTCCCCAACCTGTACGGAGGTTTGCAAAGTGCCCCTATGGCAGTGGTTCTCAATCTGTGGGTCATAGCCCCCTTGGTCACTTGCATATAAAATATTTACATTACAGCTCAGAACAGTGGCAAAATTACAGTCATGAAGTAGCAAAGTGGAAGGAAATGACCAACACCGAAGGTTGTTCTGTGACCTGCACACACACACACACACACACACACACGGGGGGGGGGGGGTTGGTCTCGTGCTATGCATTTAATTGTTAATTACTCCCCCCTCCTCCAGATCTGGTTACACCCCAGAAGAGCACATTCTCACGTACACCAAAAGATGCTGTGCCTCTCCCTACTCCCTCCCCATTTATCCCTGGTTGGCTAGTAAAGTTGCTGACAGCTTGGGCTGGGCAGAAGAGAAGTAGGTAGAGTTTAGTTTCCTGGCTTGGTTTGCAGAGCCCACAGGACAGGAGGAGGGAGAGGAAGCGGGAGATGGTAGCAGGAGGAGAGGAAGCCAAAGAGAAGGAAGTAGCCGTGGGGTAGAAGGAACCACGGCACACGGCGGTGAGGACAGAGTGGTGGAGCAGAACCAGCCCAGACAGGATGACTTATTGGCAAGGAACTTAAAATAGCTCAGAGGGCTGGTATCTGCCTAGCTCTCGGTTTAAAGCTTGTGAAATAAATTATGGGCTCTCGGTGCTAATTGCTTTGGGACCTCGGCGGGGTGGAGAAGCCTTGAGAGTCCAAGATATTTTCCACAACACATATCCATATACATCACACTTATACACACTAAAAGAAAGAAAGTTTTATATTGACCTATCGAGAGCTGTGCAGAGAACAGCTCGTTAGAGTCACCATGAGAACTCTGAAGGGAAGTTCCAGTGGGCACCTGGGGAAATAAGGTGGCCCGGGAGTCTACGTCGAACAGAGCATGTATCCAGCTGTCGCACTGTCCCTCGCCTCAGCCAGCACATCCTAGCCTGGGGATAGCACCGTTAGCACACTCTATTGGCTCTGACTCTTTCTTCGGGGTTGAATTCCTTGGGAAGCTGGCCCTCTAGTTACTGTACACTTCAGACAGGGTTGGGGCCCTGGAGAGAAAACAAGAAACAAAACAAAATTTAAAAAAAAAAGCAAAACAAAAACAATGACCTTGGGTTTTGAACCATTGTCCCAATACCCTGAGGAACTGGGAGAGCAGAGGTGGCGCTTAGGATGAGAGTGGGCCCCCATGGGCCTATATATTTGAATGCTTGTAAGCCAGGGACTGGGGTTACTTGAGAGGGATTAGGGGTGTGGCCTTGTTGGAGGAAGTGTGTCACTGGGGGTGGCCTTTGGGGTTTCAGAAGCCCATGAGAGGCCCAGTGTACATTTCCCCCATATATGTGTCTGTCTGTCTCTCTCCCTATCCCTCTCCTTTTCCCCTTATACCTCCTCTCCCCCTCCTCCTTCTCTCCCCTCCCCTTTCCCCTTCCTCTCTTTTTTTCCTAAGGATCAGGTACTCAGCTACTGCTCCAGTACCATTCGATCATGCTCCCCATCATGATGATAATGGACTAAACCTCTGAAACTGTAGGCCAGCCCCAATTAAATGTTTTCCTTCACAAGAGTGGCTCAGAGTGTCTGATCTTCAGAGCCGTAGGACACTGGCTAAGACAGCACATATGTGGGGCTGGAGGGAGAGCTCCGTGGCTCAGAGTGCTGGCTTCTCTTGCAGAGGACTGGGCCTGGTTCCCAGCACCCTCATGACAGCTCACAAAGGCCTGTAACTCCAGTTCCCTTAGGTCCTGTGTCCCTTCTGTCCTCCTTGGGTACAAAGTACACATGCATACATTCAGGAAAACACCTGTACACATAAATAAATATTTTTCAAAGAAAAAAAAAACACATGTATGCTTTTGGGGGACACTTGAGCTATAAACGATAGTGCTTCATTTGCATTTTGTCTTTCTCTCCAACAGCCAGGGGAGTGACAGGGTTGTGAGACTGCTCACTGGAGCCCCAGATGAGAGGGCTGGTGGACAGAAGAGTCTGTGTCCTTTCTGGAAATCCCCACGTGTGGAAATGAAATCTTCGACACATCCCTGCTTTCCCAACATATAAGCTCTGTGGATTAAATAATGCTCATCTCTGTTAATCAGTTTTCTGTTACCGTGACAGATCCCACAACTGACAACGTATGAAGAGAAAGGGTTGGGAATGTTCTGTCTTTTTTATCCATCAGCTATCATCTGTATTGCTTTGGGCCTGTAATGAGCCAGAACTTTGTGGTTGAGGTGCATGGGGAAGCCGGTTACCTTGGAACCCAGACTAGAGATGAAAGTGGAATTGGAGGGGCCCCGAGTTCCTTCTCCATTGCCTCAGTGGGATAAGTTCCTGCTACCAGGCCACAGCACTTTATAATTGCAACAAGCTGAGAAGTGGCTCTTGAATGCTAGGCTTTTGGGGATCACTTCAGCCATAAACGATAGTGCTTCCTCTGTGTTTTGTCTTTCTCCCCCACATTCAGGGGAGTGACAGGGTCGTGAGAGTACCCCCCCCCCCGGAGTCCCGGAAGAGTCTGTGTTCTTTCTAGAAATCCCCACGGGGAGATGGATGGGCAGATAGAGTGCTGACAGACCATCTCACTCCGTGTGGGGGCTCTGCTGTGAAGGCTTGTGTATCTCTGATAAACAGTAAATTGGACCACAGTGACCAACTGTATCCGTTACAGCGAGATTTCTATCTGTTTCCAGCCAACTGTGGTCCTGTTTTTTGGGTTGTTTTTTTTTTTTTTTTTTTTTTTTTTTTTTTTTTTTTTTT